CTTCCGCCCCTCTTGACCTCGAAACCGAGACGATCCTTAACAATGGCACAAGTAATAATCGACTTACAAAGCAATACATGAGGCTGAGAGGAACGTGAGAAGAAGCAATGAATGATGCGAACGAATGTAAAAGAAATTCTAAATACACTCTATTAAACGATTTTGAATTTTAAGCCCAAAGAAAACAGCAAATTTAATAGAAGGCAATATTGACCCCAAAGAAGAATTCAGTCAGTATAAGCCTTCAGTGCGAATGAAGAGTTTCTGCTGCGACAGCAACATTGATAGACAGCCGAGAAAATAGAGCAGACAAGAACATGTACGGGAAGACCAGCGAGAAGCTAATTAGACTATCAAGGAGGAAGTGAGGAAAGAAACAGAAATACCTAAAGGTATATGGGTATGGAATGGAGATTAAAGTTGTACGAAATATCAACTCATTAATAGTGAGTGATGATTAGTAATTATAATAATAGGTAACGAGCTTTATCACGATTTGGATTCATAATATTTCGCATACATCCCATGTGTATTCTAACAATATTTGATAGGATACCAGAAAAACAGTAATACCAAGCACCAAGTTAAAATATAGAAAGAATATGGGACGTAGTTAATTTAGTCGTATTGCCAGAGGCCTCGACGAACGCATCTTGTTAAAGGTTCTCTGTCAGTATCTTTAATACTTTTCAGCGTTTGTACGCTCTCAAAGCCATCGACATCATCAGTGAGCCTTGCCATTATTTGCAGTCCCCTATAACTCGTCAAAGCGTCATCTAGAAATGTACCAAGTCGATAGGCTGGAACTTACCATGAATACTATTGCACAGGGCTCCGGACAAGGTGCGCTTATATAGGTATCTCTGACAATAAGACCAGGTTAAGAAAACGAGGTCTAACCACTTCCATGCAAAGAAAGGAGTCCGTGACGATAGTAAGCGCCACATCCTATTGGTCTTGAATAATAGAAAATAAAATAAGAGGTAGGCCAGAAGGTTGTCCGATTGTCATCATGTGGAAAAAATACAATTATCCCATGAAAGGATCCATTTTTCCGGTTTGGCTACTGATCGGTTAGCCTATTAATCTATTCTTTTTTCAAATATTGACAAAGGTGACTAGCAAAAAGATCAAAAGATCGTGAATTAGCGTTGATGAATCAAGACGATGCGTATAGGACCGCAGCGGCGACTATACTGGATGAATAGGATACATAAAGATATTATCAAAGTTGTTGCTATGAGGAAAGGACAAAGCTCCCTTATTATTAACATACCGAGTCGATGGAATCATTCGTTGACTAGCGTCATTACAGAATTCAGGGGAGACCGAGTTAGGCGATGGAGGTGACATTAGAGAGAGATCAGAAACGGGCGTCAGCCAGGTTGTTGGACCATGCAGTCGCAGACCAGGACTGGATCTTTCCCCAAAAGCTGTGGACAGTGTAATTTGGCCACCGACTGCCGCGGCGGTATTACTGTTGCTCGGGACTCCAGTTACCAGGGGTTCGCAAACAGGTCGACCACTTGGTACAAAGTTGTCTATTCGGCCAGCAACGCAGGAATCAAGTCGCCTTGCCTCGTTGTTATTTTGTACACAGTAGCCAGAGGGTGCTGGGTAGGAACTGGCAGTCGAATAGCCAGATGAAGATGAGGCAAATGGCGTACCTGGAGAATAACCGCCTGAAGTTGGCGATACATTTTGCCACTGGCCGGAGGAACAGCCAGCAGGGCCAATAGAAGAAGTATTCGAGCCACTAACCGCAGTCTCGTTGCTGCTTGTGATGCTAGTGGCGATAGGTGTCCAAGTGGGACGGTGTCCGGGACCAGGCCCAGCTGGGTAACGATTGACTTGCGAGTGACTGAGCACTCGTGAGGTGGAAGGTGCTGTCATGCGAAAAAGTTGCTGCCAGTTCTCGATGAAAAGATGCATTATCTGATTGATAGTCCCTTGATCCTGTAAACTCTTTTGGAGTCCAGAAAAGAAAAACAACGGTCATACGCGACAAATTACAGATTCCAATATATAAATGGACGAATGATTACAGCAATACTCACGCAACTATCTCATTAATAGCAATAAAATATGAACTAGGTTACGAATTGAAAGTAACTTTTGTTAATTGATCATAAAGTCTATAATAAAATATTTTAATTAGTTATGTAGGAAAAAGATTAATCGCGCACCTTTTAGAGATGTTAATAAAATACTAACAAAAATTTCAACGCACCTCACAAAACTCAAA